GTACAGGCCAATATCCCCGATGAATGTAGATGCAAAAATCCTCAAGAAAATTAGGTAACTGAATTTACCAGCACACTAAAAGGATCATATACAATGGCTAATGTGATTTATCCCTGGGATTCAAGGATGGTTCAACATAAGCAAATCATTCAACATGATATACCACATTACTATAAATAAAGGAAAAAAATCACACAATCACCTTAGGATTTATAGAAAACACATTTGACAAGAGGGAACATCCTTTCATGATAAAAATTCTCAACAAATTGGGTATAGAAGTAACTCAAAACAATAAAGGCCCTACATAAAAAGGCCATAGTAAACATTTTCAATGGTGAAAAACTGAAAGCTTTTCCTCTAAGATCTGTAATAAGGCAAGAATATCCACTTTTGTCCCTTCTATTCTACATAGTACTGGGAATCCTGATTATAGATTAGACAAGGACAAGAATTAAACAGCATCAAATCAGAAAGTAAGAAGTAAAGTAATTTTTATTGCTGGTGACATAATCTTAGATTTAGGAAATCCTAAAGACTCCACACACACACACATAGACACACACACACACTTACTTCTGTTAGAAATATGTGAATTCATCAAAGTTGTAGGATGCAAAATCAACATACAAAAATCATTATATTTCTATATACAAAAAATGAACTATCTGAAAAAGGAGAGTAAGAAAACACAGCATCAAAAACAATAAAGTAGTTAGGAATAAACTTAACCAAGAAACTTTAAAACTTGTATACTAAAAGCCATGATATACTGAGTAAAAAATTAAAGCAGATGCAAATAAGTAGAAAGACAACCTGTGTTAATTGATTGGGGGTATTAGTATTGTTAAAATGTCCATACTACCCAAATGGTCTACTGATTTAATACACTGCCTTTCAAAATCCCACTGGCATTTTTTACAAAAATAGAAAAAGCAATCTTAAAACTTATGTGGTATCACAAAAGACTCTGAATAGCCAAAGCAGTTTTAAGCAAGAAAGACAAAGCTGGAAGCATCACACTCTTTGGCTTCAAAATATATTACATAGCTACAGTGATGAAACCAACATGGTGTTGGTATAAAAGCAGGCATATACCAATGGAACAGAACAGAGAACCCAGAAATAAACTCAAGTATATATGGTGAACAGATCTTTAACAAGGATGCCAAGAATATACAATGGATAAAGGACAGTCTTTCCAACAAATGGTACTGGGAAAACTGGTTATCTACTTGCAAAACAATGAAATCGGGCCCTAATTTTACACCATACACAAAAATTCACTCAAAATGGATTACAGACTTAAATGTAACACCAGAAACTAGAAAACTCTAGAAGAAAACATCAGCAAAACCTCTTGACCTTTGTCCTGGTAGTAATTTCATGGATATGACACCAAAATCATAGGCAACAGAAGCAAAAATAGACAAGTGGAATTACATCAAACCAAAAAGTTGCTGCACATCGAAGGAACTAATCAACACAATGAAGAGGCATTTTGTGAAAAAGGAGAAAAATTTTGCAGGCTGCATATCTCATGAGTTTACATCTAAAATACGCAAGGATTCCTACCACTTAATAGCAAGAAAACAAGTAACAACTGAAAAACAGGCAAAAGAAATGAACAGATATTTCTCTGAAGAAAACATATAGGTATATGAAAAGATGCTCAAAATCACTAATCATCACAGAAATGCAAATAAACACCATGAAATATTACCTCACACCTGTTAGATGGCTATTATTATGATGAAAAATTATCATTATTGTTGAACAGTCTAAAGATAAGAAGTGTTAGTGAGGATACATAAAAAGGGAACCCTTATGCATTGTTGGAGAAAATATAAATTGGTAAAGTCATTATGGAAAATAGTATGGATATTTCTCAAAAAATTAAAACTAGAACTACCATATGATCCAGTACTCCACTTCTGCATCAATATCCAAATGAAATAAAAGCATTGTCTCAATAATATCAACACACCCATGTTTACTGCAACACTATTCACAATAGCCAAGTAATGGAAGCAAACCAAAAGTCCAGCCATGGATGTAAGGATAAAGAAATGTGGTATATAAGTACATTGAACTATTAGCCTAAGAAAAGAAAAAAAAATCCTGCCACTTGTGACAAAATGAGGACATTATGCTAACTGAAATAAGCCAGACACAAGACAAACACTGCCTGATATTACTAACATAAGGAGTCTAAACTAGTCAAATTCATATAAGCAGAAAGCGGATGTGGTAACCAGTGGCTAGGAGGAGGGGAATATAAGAAGTATTAATTAAAGGCTATAGAGTTTCAGTTACCCAAGATAAGTCCTAAATATCTACTGTACAAATCCTGTCCATAGTTAATAATACTGTCCTGTGTGCTAAATTTGGCTAAGATGGTTGATTTTATATTAAATGTGCTTATCACACACACAAATATTAATAATAAATAAAAAAGGGCAGGAGGAAATGTTTCAAGGTGATGAATATGTTACAGCATAGACGACATAGACATACCAAATTATATGCATTAAAAATATATAGCTTTTTGTATTTTAATTTTGTATTTTAATCAAACCCCAAAAGAGTGGTTTAAAGAAACACATGGATATTGCCTAGTTTTTTTTTCCCCAAAATGATAAATTATGCAAACATTCAAAAAGTGTTTGAACTTGCATTGGAACAAAACTGATAACTTGTAAGTCTTAGTGTTATTACAATAAAATGGAATCAGATAACAATAAAAAAAAAGGTAAGTGATGTGGCTGTATTAACATTAGTCAAAGTAGGTTTAAGAATGAAGAATATTGCCAGAACAAAGAATATCATTTTGTAATCATAAAGAGATCAACTTTTCAGGAAGACATAATATTCTTAAATGTTTATGTACCCAATAACAGTTCAAAATATATGAGGCAACAAATAACAGAACTACAAAGAGCAACAGAAAAATGCATTTATTTTTGAAAGACTTCAATACTTTTCTCTCAATAATTGTTAGAATAGGTAGAATCAGTAAGGACATATAGAATATTTGAAGAGCTAACAACTAACTTGACTTAACTGACATTTTTTTTATGACTCCATTAAACAGTAGCAAATTATACACTAATTTCAAATACTTATAACAGTTATCTAGATAGACCATAGTCTGAGTCCTAAAACCAGAATCAATAAATTTAAAAGAATTCAAGTCATACAGAGTGTCTTTCTTTGACCATAAGCAGAGTTAAATTAGAAATTAGTAACAAAAAGATGTCTGAAAAATCCACCGAGTAATTGAAAAAGAAGTAATACAAATTATATAAAAGCACTTCTGGAAAAGTGAAAAGGGGAAATACTTTCCACTCACTCTGAGGCTAGCATTATCCAGATATCAAAACTAGAGAAACATCTTACAAGAAATGAAAATAGACTAATATCCATCATAAACCTAAATAAAAACATTCTAAATAAAATTTAAGAAACTGAATCCATTAAAATAGTTAATAGAGAGTTCCACTTCTGAGAAATAAGAGCTCCACAGACCCACTCCCCAGTGAAACACGAAAATCTGGTCAAAATTGAAAAACAAAACAAAGACAACCACTTAATGTCTCCAGAAACCGACCTAAGAGAATACAGCAAATGAATAATTTATGTAAGAAAATTTAGTAAAACTTGGTAAGAATAGAAAGAGTTTGTATTATTTAACATTCAGCTGCTCTAGTTTGTCATCTAAGAACCATTCTAGTTTCCTTCTTTTCCTTCAATGTCCCCAGTTTCCTAGTATTTTCAGTTCTGTTGAAAATGTCTTGGATTCATCCATTTCTCTTCATATATACTGCCACAACCTTGGTCTAATTATCATTATTTCTTGAAGAAAGTTAAGAATTATTTCTTTTGCCTTTTTCTACATTTCTCCTTCTCTACTCTTCACTTTCCAATACCCTGTTTTCCACATTGTAGCCAAAATGATCTTTAAAAAAAACATATATTCCTCCAGTGCTTTGAACCAATCAGTAGCTTCCCAGTGAAGCCATTTACTATCATTTTTTTGGCCTCCAAATATACTGGTCTTCCCTCTGTTCCTCAAACACATGAAGGTCTTTCTCACCTCAGGGTTTTCAAACTTGTTGTGTTTTTCTCTAAGTTTTTTCAAACAATTGGCTCTTCTCATTCTTTAACATTATAAACATTTTTTATTGAGTTATAGACATTTTACAATGTTGTGTCAAATTCCAGTGTAGAGCACAATTTTTCAGTTATACATGAACGTACCTACATTCATTGTCACATTCTCTTCTTCTCATTCTTTAGGTCTCAGTTCAAAGGACATCCCTTCAGAGAGGTTTTCCTTTAACTACGTTTAGTGTTATCCTTCCCAACCACATGCCCAGATGTTACTATTGCATCATCAAGTTTATTTTCTTCACAGGGTTTAAGTACAAAATTCATATACCACTTGTTGCAAGCCCATCAGAGGAAATTCAAAGCAAGCATAAAGGAGAGAGCAAATAAAATCGTATTTGTAAAGCTATATCTATATTTATACATTCTATGAATGCCTCAAATTAGGACTTTATTAATTATGATTCTTTGTTAAGGATCTCATTTGTTTTCTTGGAATGTCTAGTTGCAAACAATTCTAATGCCAGTATATGGCTTTCAGTCATTGTAGGAAAAAGAGATCTTTGAAACAATACCTTGTACAAATTCTTGATCTGGATACCTGCCACCAAACTGGTAGGTTCAGGTTCAAAATACTTGTTTTGAGTTACTTCACAGTCTTTCACTTCTCCTTTGTTTCTTTTGATTCTTGGTTGGCCAAACCAGTATGAGCGCTACAAAGAAAGCCAAAAGATAATTACCAAAATGAGCATAAGAAATGAAGCACTCCATCTAAACAGACTTATAACAAGTAAGGCAACTGAGTCAGTGATGAAGACTTCCCTACAAAGAAAAGTCCAGAACCAGAAGAGTTCACTATATGAATTCTACCAAACATTTAAATAAGAATTAACAACAATCTTTCTACAAGTCTTCCAAAAAGTACAAGAGGAGGTAACATTTCCTAATTCATTCAATGATCTCACCATTACCCTGACACCAAAGTCAAAGAGATCACAAAAAAACTACAGATCAGTATCTCTTATGAATATAAATGTAAAAATCTTCAATAAAATACCGGTAAACTGAATCCAATAGCATATCAAAAGCATTATAGACTATGATAAAGTATGATTTACCCCAGGAATGGAGGAGTGGTTCAACATATGAAAGTCAATCACTGTAAAACATCACATTAATAGAACCATGGAAAATAACACACATGATCAGCTCAACTGATGCAAATAAAGCCTCTGACAAAGTGTGTTAAAGGTAAAGAAGAGAACTTTATCAAAATGATAAGCGGCATTCATGAAGAAACCCACAGCTAACATCATACTCAATGGTGAAATACTGAAGGCTTTTCCTCTAATATCAGGAATAAGACAAGGATGCCTGCTTTCACCCTTGCTACTCATTACTGTACTGGGAGTTTCAGCCAGAACAATGAGGTAGGAAAAAGAAATAAAAGGCATCCAAATTGGAAAGCAAGAAGTAAAACTATCTATGTTTGAAGATGACAAGATCCTACTTATTAAGAAAAGCCCAAAGAATGCCCTCCCCCACATACTAGAAGAGATAATGAACAAATTCAGCAAAGATGCAAGATACAGGAGCAACCAAAGAGGTGAAAGACTTGCACACTGAAAACTATAAAACTTTGTTGAAATAATTTAAATAAGACATATAAATAGAAAATACATGAACTTAAAGACAGACAGTATTTTAATATGGAAATATTAGTTCAAAAATGAACAGATTCAATGTAATCTCTATAAAAATTCAAATGACATTTCTGCAGAAATAGAAAAGCTGATCCTCAAGTTCATATGGAACTGCAAGAGGCCCCTGGTAGCTAAAACAATCTTGAAAAAGAACAAAGCTGGAATACTGAGACTTTCAGATTTCAAACTTTACTATAAAACTACAAGAATCAAACCAGTGTGGTATCAGTATAAGGACAGACATGTAGGTTAATGGAATAAAATTAAGGGTCTAGAAATAAACGCATACATCTATGCCCAACTGATTTATATCAAATGTGCTAAGACCATTCAATGGGGAAAGAATAGTCTTTTCAGAGACTGTTGCTGGGACAACAGGATATCCACCTGCAAAAGACTGAAGCTGGATCCCCACCTCACACTGTATAAAAACAAAATAAATATTGTTCAGTGATCTAAATTTAAGAGATAAAACAGAACTCTTAGAAGAAAACATAGGGGTAAATATTCATGACTTTTTATTTGACAATGGTCACCTAGATATGACACCAATTTCACAACCAACAAAAGAAAAATTGATCAACCTGGTTTTTTTTAGTTGAGGTATAGTCAATTCAACCTGCCAGTTTCTGGTGTACAGCACAATGTCCCAGTCATGCATTACATACATTTATTAGGATAAACTAGCTTTCATCAAAATTAAAATTTTATGCATGAAAGGACACTATCAAGACAGTGAACAATGTCCTTTAAAAAAAAAGAGTGAAAAGACAACCCACAAAATGGAAGAAAATATTTGAATATTTGCAAATCATATATCTGATAAGGGTCCAGTGTCTGAAATATGTAAAAAGACAAACAATCCAATTTAAAAATAGGCACAGGACTTGAACAGACATTTCTACAATAATATATACAAATGGCCAGCAAGCACGTGAAAATATATCAGCATGATTATTCACTAGGTAAATGCAAATCAAAACAAGATACCATCTTATACCCACAAGGGTATAATAAAAGAAAAAGAAACAGTTTGATGATCCTGAAAACATTAAACACAGAATTACCACCCCAAGGTATAGTCACAAATTCCACTCCTAGATACACAGTCCCTCCAAAATTGAAACAAGTATTCAAACAAACATTTATACACAAATATTAACAGCAGCACTACTCAATACCCCAAAGATGTCCTATATATCCAACTATGGGCTAACAGGTAAAAGAACTGCTCTTTATACATACACTGGAATATTATTCTACAATCAACAAGAATGAAGTACTGATACATACTATAACATGGATAAACCTCAAAAACATTATGGTAAATGAAAGAAGCCACACACAAATGATTACATATTGTATGATTCTATTTATAAGAAATAACCAGGAAAGGTAAATCTGAAAAGGAAGCTGGTCAGTGGTTGCTAGGGGCTTGTGATAGGGGAAAATGGGATGTGACTTCTCAATGGGTACATAATTTTCTTTTTCAGTGATGAAAACATTTTGAAAGTAGATATGTGCATGTATATTATAAATGTACAAATGCCACTGGTTTGTTCACTTTAAAATGGTTAGTTTTAAGTTATATGAATTTCATCTGAATTGAAAATTGAAACATGAAAAAGTGAGGCACTTTAAGAATTAAAAACACTTTGGCCTGGTTTACTTTCTGAGATACAGAAAGCTGTGGCATACTTTTAGGGGTTATATATTGCAGCAGAATTCTGTATGATTTGAATTTCCAAGGTTTAGAAGAAAAACTCTGCATCTGTGGAAGGCTTAAGGGATATCAATAAATGGCTATAACATTTCATATGGATGGTATGCAAATGAAAATGATTCTGCACATGCCCTTTTGATTTGATTATAAACATCATGAAATAGGCTCATAAGGACTATGGTCTTTTGTAATAACAGCAGCATTAGAACTCACCATAAGAAAAAAGTACCATGGCTTGGGCACGCCATACTTCCCTGGAAAGACGTTTTCTATATACCAGGTCACAAGGCCATACAAGAAGGCATCAAGTAAAAGCATTCCCGACATATGGCCCAGGACGAGATTATCGTCAAGGCTGGCTGGTGTCCAAAGGTTATTCCACTTAACACCAATTCCTGAAATAGAAAGAAGATATATACCATAGATGACAGCTCTGTGATTGAAACAGCAAAGAAAAAAGTTGATACCCTAAATTTTGCCACTGTCAATTATCTATATATTGAGACCCTTAGGTCATCCAAGAAAGTGATGGAATATATAATAACATTGATATCCTCCCTCCTCCCTTCAAAACCTACCAACATAAATAGGGATGACTGAGACAAGGTCAATGGCTGAAACAAAAATAAACGGTAACAAAGAGCTAAGAAAAAACAGACCCATTAGAAGCTATCCGTCTACCTTTCCCATCATGCTAAATTCCTACTGAAATAACCGTTAGGATATACACATTTGGAAAACTATTTAACAGCACTAGAGAAGGATGGTGACCACCAAGTGAAAGAGAAAAAGAAGTTTTGCTCATAGTACTGATGGAAAGGGAAAAAAAATCTCACCAAAATAATACACGTAATCCTTTGTTCCTGTACTTTCTCTATTTCTGGACAGAGTGTAGCAGAACTGAAAAAGCATTAGGGCATCCAGTGAACTCCTAATTCAAAGAGGAAAGACATGAAGACAACAATGGCCCATGAAACCCAACCTTTCTTCAATTTTAGCCCTTCCTCTCCTATAGATCAGTACTACGAGAAAAATATTCATGAACACTGTGTCTTTGAGAAAGCTGTAAGAAAAGGTAATTGTTTGAGAAAAAAGTGTTCAGTGGAATTAGAGATAAGTATCAAAATGAAAGTCATTTTGAGAGGCCATGAATAGCAAATTAGAAACCATGGAAAAAGAGAATATAGAACACAAAAATCAGGAAGTGTACCATAACTTGAGAAATTCTGCATCTCAAAATAAAATAGGAGTCCCTTCAAAACAAAATAAATAATAGAGAAAAGAAATAATAACTGAATAATAAAATAACCTGACAAAAATAACTCAGAGAACTAAAAGTGTACCTCCTGTTGCATATTAAGCCAATGGAAATCCCACCTCTAGATCAAGTCTATTAAATTTTTGAATGTTTCATGTATAAAGTAAGAATGATGAAAGTATCCATAAAGAAATCATATGCATGACTGGATATTCACTGGGAGATTTTTGTTCATAGATGAGAAAATTTAGTATCTTAAACCCTCTTCATTAACCAATAAATGCAATGAAATTCCCAATAAATCCCAACAAGATTTTTCATAGAATTTGACAAAGTGACCCTAAAGTTCCAGTGGAAAACAAGGTGGTACAAACAACTGAAGAATTACAAGGTATGGGGACAGGTCTAACAGATATTAAGACTCATTATAAAGCTATAGCAAGTAAAACCATTGTGGTATCAACACAAAAGAGACTAAAAAAGATCAACAGAATGAAAAAGATAACCAAAAAGATCCATGCACAAATGGAGACATGATGTAAAACAAAGGTGGAATGAGAAAGCAGTACAGAACAACAAACTATCCAATAAATGATTCTAATAGCTTTATTTTCATGTGAAAAATAAAATTAAGTTCTCACCTCATAACAAATAGATATATCAACTCTATGCTTATTGCTAGTCAGATGTAAAAATTTAAAAATATTAAAGAAAATATAGAATTATTATTTTTATGACTCTGGGTATGGATGGATTCCTTTAGAAGACCATTAAACTAAACATTTTTGGAAAAAAGATACCATAAACACAAATTAAAATGAGTCACAGCCTAAGGATAATTATTTACACTACCTACGACACTTAGAGGATTGAAATCCTTTTATGTACAAGGAAGAATTCCTCTTCTTCCCCCAAATTAAAATATATTTAGATGCGATTTTTTTCACTTAGCAGAAAAGGTGAAATTATTTGATAGTGTAAAGGATGTAAAAATCTGAAATACTCCTCAATTTATGGCCCATTTATCCTTATCTTATTTTGTGACCCAAAAATTCCAAAATGTAAATGTCATTTTGGAAAGGACGCCCTTTTCTAGACAGGAAGACAAGTAGGAAAGCAGCCTGCCCTCCCCCTTCTCCTAAGTAAGAAAAGAATGAAAATAAGGTACAGAGGACAGGTCCATGAATCCTACGTTTTCCTGTTTCAGGGAAATCCTGGAGAAACTTTCAGGTGGGATTGTGTAGAAATATACAATATTGTACGATGGTGGCATTTGTATGGCAGAGTGAGGCAGAGGCAGCTAGAAAATGGGTCTGAAGTGATGCTACTGGCTCCTCATATCTTAAAAGTCACATTCAGAGCTTGCATAACTTTGCAAGTGTTTGTTTGTGAAGGCCAAAGAGTCTCAGAGAGGGCCAGAGGAAGGCACGGACCTGGGTGAGGAGATTAAGGCTACGGTAAGCTATCCAGAGCCATGTTTCTAACAGATGACGTACGAGTATCTTGTTCAACATGAGCCATATATAAACAGTGACACTTCAGATTCTTAAGGGTCCATAATGCAGATCAGGCTTCAGGCTAGGTACTCTACTATAGAGGTAAAGGATCCAATAGATTTGAGGTCCCCATTTCCCTCCATTATAAGAGAGCTCATTAATTTCCATTCCCCTCCATATCATCTTGAAGAGTCCAAGAAGGAAAGATGTCTCAAAGATTGACTCATTCAGAAGAACCTGAATAAATCACTGGATTAGACTTACATTACATTTATTTTCTTTAGCCCAGTAGTGTAGAGTTTGGAGGAAAAGTAGTTACAGGAAGTAAAGAAGCTAAATTTGCCTTTTACCTGAGAATAGTATATTATTGGAAATGATGTAGAAAAACTCATGTGTTGTTCGTGGGAGAATAAACTGATCTCTATTTTTTGAAGGTTACCATAATAGCAATCAAAATCAAGCTATGAATATCTTACTGGATACCATTTTTATATCTAGGAATTTATATTAGTATGCATACCATATGCATACTATTGTGGGTAACAGTAAAAACAGGAAAACTCTTAAATGTGCAATCATAATCATAGAGAACTAGTTAATTAATTATAGTTCCCCTTTGCAATGGAATATTAAACAACCTCGTAGAAGAAAGTAGCATAACTTTATATGGGAAGAGGCCTAATAGATACCATTAGGTGAATAAAACAAGTTGTAGTATAGAAGGTTTAAAATTCTTTGCTCTTTGACAGTGTATCTGGGGTGTTTATTGAAGAGAGATGGGGAACTTTTCATTTTTCACACTTCTAATTTTTTACAGCTCACATAAATGCCTTTATAATAAAAAATCTGAGGATAAATAATTTTTATAACATTTTCTTACCTCCTCACCCACTGTCCCACCCCCATTACCTTTCTACATTTCTAGGAATCAAATATCAAAGGCATATTTGCAAGGCAAACTCTTACTTTTTATTTCCAACTTGACCAGAAGTTTAATCCCCAAGGCCAATGCAACATTTGAGCTGAGACAGGCAGCCACCTTCCTGGTGAGAGTTATGTGTCCATAGTTTTGAGCAACGGAGTTAAATGGAAAGAAACTGGCAAAATATAGGAAGCTTCCAGCAGAAGCAGCCATACGGGCTGCAAATAAGAAGGAAATTATAAGGTCAGTTTAAAGCAATATATGAAATAATGAATTATAAAAACTTTATGTAGTGTGTAAATAAAATACACTAAAGGAAAAGAATGCAAGCTCTATGAGGGAAGAGAATTTATCTTTCTTTTTCACCCTCATATCATTAATGTCTAGACCACAGCAGACATTAGTGTGTGTTGAATGAATTAATGTATAGGGTGAGCTAATGTATAGGATATTTACCACATATGATAATTGTTTATGGTCATGTAAACAAAAAATGACCCCTATGTATGTTACAGAAAAATATTTTCTCCTTTTTAAAATCTATTTACTCATGATCACTTGGCTTGAGAAATTATAAATGTATGATTATAGATCATCAGTATTAACCTAAATTGAATATATTGATATTTCTAGAGAGTTTGAGGTTATGCGTAGACTAAAGCCCGGATGAAGTTTTTAATGCATGCTTCCAATCTAAATCATGATATCCCAAAGAAAGAGTAATTGAATAAACAGTTAATTATTGGGAGTTGAATGTGGTTAGGTCCATAAATATGGGATCCTGTAAGTTAGAAAAAATTTTTTTTCAAGGTTATTATTAAGATAGGAGATCAAGATGGTGGAGTAAGAGGATGTGGAGCTCACCTCTCTCCAAGAACACATCAAAAATACATCTACATGTGGAATAATTCTCACTAAAAACTGCAAACTGGCAGGACTACTGTAAAATCAAAGCAGTAAGAAAGATAACACACATAATTGGATAGGATGAGAAGAAAAACAATCAAGTCAGAACCTGTGTAAGAGGGGACTCAGAGGAAAAGGAAGATTGCATGGACACCTGCCCTGGGAGCTGAGCAGGTTGAGCCACAGACTGGGCATCCCAGCCCTGAGGTCCTATGTGGAGGAGGAAAGCCCCTTGACTCATTGGAGAACCACTGAGACAGATTTAAAGGCTGGGGAAGCCTGGACTCCACTCAAGAGAAGTGTGTAGGTGCTAGCTTGCCCAAGGCAAAGTGGAGAAATGTCTAACCTATTAGCTGCCAGGTTTTCCGTAACTACCTTGCTGTGTGTCCCAGCCCAGGCCATGTACACCATCTGGCTCCACTTACAGCATGCCACACTAGGTAGACACTACTACTAGATCTGAGACAGCCATGATTAGGGAAAATATGTGGCTGTGGGCTGTATCTGAGCAGAGCTGCAGATGCCTACAAAGACAAAGCATTGGACCTCTTTTAGGGACATGAGACCCACTTGCTTCAGCAAACCTCTCCTTTGAGGCAAAGATCCTGGTGTGGAGAGAAGTAGAAAGACATAATTAAAGGGAACAGAGCCAGCTCAAGCCTGACCCTTAGGACTTCTTCTCCAGCAACTTGGGATCACACATGTCCTGTGACAGAATGCTGATGGCCACTGCACAAAGAGGAAGTCCTGCTTAACATCCTGCACAGACTAGCACCTTCATCTCCAGCCTAACAAAGTGATGGCTGCTGGCACACTCTGAAGAATGACATGATTGTTGTAGACATCAAATCCAGCCCTCTCACCAAAGGCACTGGGCACATGCCATCTTCATAGGGAAGCTCCCACATTAAAAATACCCTTTCAAGACCATAATAGGTAACTGTTTCACCTAAATTCACAGAGGCAGAAAAAGTTAAGTAAAATGAAAAAGGCAGAGAAACTACTCCCAATTGAAAAAGCAAGAGAAAACCCCAGAAAAGATAAATAATGAAACAGGAATAGATAATTTACCCAAGAATTGAAAACATTGGTAATAAAAATGTTAATTGACTTAGAAAAAAGAAATGACCTAAACAAGTGATCATTTAAAAAAGGAAATAGAAAATACAAAAAAGACCCCAAAAAATAGATAATTGACAGATTGGGATTTCAAAATGTAGAATAGATAAACAAGATTATACTGTATAGCACAGGAAAAATATACAAGATCTTATAGTAGCTCACAGAAAAAAAATGTGACAATGAATATATATATGTTCATGTATAATTGAAAAATTGTGCTCTTCACTGGAATTTGACACAACATTGTAAAACGATCATAACTCAACAAAAAATGTTAAAACAATAGATAACGGAATATCTGAAATAAAAAACACATTAGAAGGAATGAATAGCAGACTAAGTGATATAGAAGAATTCATAAGTGATCTGGAAGATCGAAGAGTGGAAATAACCTGATCAGAACAGCAGAAAGAAGGAAAAAAAATGATATGATTCTCTATATAGAAAACCCTAAAGTCTCCTCCCCAAAACTATTAGAGCTAATAAATGAATTCAGCAAGGTTGCAGAAACAAGATTAATATACAGAAATCTGTTGTGTTTCTATACACTAATAATGAAATATCAGAAAGTAAGAAAAACCCCAGTTAAAGTTGTATCAAAAAGAATAGACTACCTAGGAATAAAATTAACCAAGGAGGTGAAAGATTCATACTCTGAAAACTCTAAAACATTGATAAAAGAAATTGAAGACGATACAAAGAAATGGAAAGCTATCCCATGCTCTTGGATTGGAAGGATTAATATTCTTAAAATACCCATACTACCCAAAACAATCTTCAGATATAATGCAATCCCTAAGAAAACTCCCATGACCTTTTCACAGAACTAGATACTCGTAAGATTATCAGCAAATTTCTAATCAGAAACCTTGAAGGCCAGGAGGCAATGGGTTGATATATTCAAAATGCTGAAAAAAAAAGTGAAAAATAAGAATTCTTAATGCAGCAAACTGTTCTTCAAAGGGAGAAACGAATAACAAGTAAACAAGAAGACCTGCCCTGGAGGAGAACTAAGGGAGTTTTCAGGTTGAAATAAAGGGACACTAGATAGTAAGTGGAGACTATATGAACAAGTAAAGATCTCCAGTAAAAGTAAATTCATGGGCAATTATTAAAGCTAGTATTATTGTATCAACTAATCCTCAATAAAAAAGAAGGCGAGCGAGTCCAAGTCAGAAAAGGAGATGTGATGATCACAGTAGAGGTTGGAGTGATGCAGTTGCTGGAAGCGGGTCATGAGGTAAGAAACACGGGTAGTCTCTAAAAGCTGGAAAAGGCAAGAAATGGATTCTTTGTTATAGGCTCCTGCCAACAACTTCTTTTGGCCAAGTGCACATAGGACAGTCTTCAGAATAGACCATATGACCATATGTTAGGCCACAAATCAAATCACAAAACTTTTCCATTAAGGTAAATATCATATAAACTACCTTCTCCAACTATGACAGGATATGATTAGAATTCAATAACAGAAAGAAAATTCACAAGTTTGTGGAAATTAAACAAGGCACTCCTGAGCAACCAATGGATCAAAAAAGAAATCACAAGAGAAATTAGAAGGTATATAGAAATGAATGAAAATGAAAACACAACATAACAAAACTTAATTGATAGCAGTACTAAGGGGGAAATTTATAGCTATAATTGCTTACTTTGAAAAAGAGGAAGGATCTCCAATCAACCACTTAACTTTACAACTTAAGAAACCAGAAAAAGAAGAACAAAACCAAAAGCTAGTAAAAGGAAGGAAATAAAGATTACAGCATAAATAAAGAGAAAATAAACAAAAGCAAAAGTTGGTTCATCAAAAGGATTTAAAAATCTATAGCTGAATTGACTAAGATAAATGAAGAGAAAACTCAAATTATTAAAATCACAAATGAAAGTGGGGACATAAACATTGATTCCATGAAAATAAAAAGAATTATAAGAGAATATTATAAAAGGTTCCTTAATTTTTTAAAAAGCATTTTTCTGCAGTGTGGTTAACATGTAAAAATTGGTACAAATTTAAAGAATACAATCACTGAGTTTGGGGACAAGTACACATCCGTGAAACCATCACCACCATCAAGGCCACAGATATATTCACCACCTCTTGAAGTTTCTACCCACCTCCTTTATTATTATATTTTCTTTAACAAAAGGTATATCCTCTCCACAAATTTTCACTACCCAATACGCTACTGTTAGCTATAGGAACTATGCTGATAGTAGGTCTGCAGAACTTATCTTGCATAACTGAATTTTGTACCCTTTGACCATCACCTCCCCATCCACAGCCACCCCTCCCCTAGCAACCACCACTGTATTCTCTGCTCCTATATATCTGACTATTTTGATTTCCACACATAAGAGAGATCATACACTATTTGTCTTTCTGTGTCAGACTTAAGTTACTTAGCATAATGTCCTTCAGGTCCATCTATGTTGTCATAAATGGCAGAATTCCCTTCTTTTTTTTAAGGCTGAATAATATTCCATTGTATGTATATACCACATTTTATTTATCCATCCTTCCTATCCATCCATCCTATCTATCCATCCACCGACGAACATTTAGGTTGTTTCCGTATCTTGAATACTGAGAATGATGCTGCACTGAACATGGAAGTGCAAGTATATCTAAGAGATCCTGATTTAATTCCTTTGGACAAATACTCAGAAGAGGAATTGCTGGATCATATGGTAGTTATATTTTTAATTTTTTGAGGAATCTTCATACTGTTTTCCATGGAGGCTGAATAATTTTACATTCCCACCAATAGTATAAGAGTTCAAATTTCTCTCCATTCTTGTACACTTGTAAAATTACACTTACAATCTTTTGGGATTTTTTTGATAATGGTCATTTGGACAGGTTGAGGTGGTATCATTGTGGTTTTGACTTGCCTTTCTCAGGTAATTAGTAATTTTAAGCACCTTTTCACACACCCATTGGCTATTCATATGTCTTTTTTAGAGAAATGTTTATTCAGTTCTTTGGCCCATTTTCAACTGTTATTTGTCTTACTGCTATTGAGTTGTAGAAGTTCCTTACATATTTTGGATATTAACCCTTTATCAGATATAGGGTTTGCAAATATCTCCTTTCATTCCATAGGCTGCATCTACATTTTGTT